GGAGGAGGAGTAGAAGAATACGAGAACGATCGTAGTAAAAGTACGAGAAGAGAAGAGAAGAAAAGAGAAGAGAGAAAAAAGATAAAGATGAAGATAAAAATGAAAAGGAAAAGAGGATACCGTGGAGAGGGCAGTGGACTGGTAGAGGGGGCAGCAGAAAGGTAGTGGGGGTACGGGAGTAGTGGAGGGGAGTGAAGAGTAAAACATAGAATAGATGTAGAGATAGAGAAAGTACGTGAACGTGACTTGGGCCCATCTTCTTATCAAAATTACGAATCCTGTCGCGGATCAAGGAACGTGAAAAGAATATATTTTCCACAATCGAAGGAAACTTGTGTTTTCAGAAGTGGGGGGGGGGTGAGGTGTATAACCTTACAAATTTGACCAAGGTTCATTCACATTTTTATTTTGTTTTCTTATGAAAGCGTGTGGCGTGTAATCGAATGAATATCTTCAAAGGTTTTTTTTTGGGGAAAATTCATTTTAATTCAAACTCTCGAGATAAAATTGATAGTTTAATTCGTTGCATACAAATCTTGTGAATGTTTTGAGAAAGTTTATTGGTTCAAGTAGCATAAGATATTTTTTTAGAAAGGAAAAGGAATCACAATCCCCCCACCACCTACCACCCACCACCACAACCACCACAAAATATCCAGGAAAAAATAAATGCATCCTTTCCTTTATACATTTCTTCTTCTTCTTTTCTTTTAATTTTTCTTTTTTCTTTTGGTTTATTACGTTTTTTATAATTGCGCTAACGAGAGAAAACTAAGAGAAAAAAAAATAAAAAATAAAAAAGAAAGTAAAGCAAGAAAAATTTGTGGTCGTTATTTTCTTTTCTTTTTTTCTTATTACATGGGTCGTACTACTTTTCCTCGATTAAAAGTATTTTCTTTTTAAAAATAAAAAAAATAAAAAAAATAAAAATAGAAAACAAACATAAGGGATGCCCTTTCGTAGAAGAATCATTTCTCAAAGTTTCAGGAATGAGTTAAGTGAGTTGAGTGAGTTCGAGCAAGCGAGTGAATGAAAGGAAGGAAAGAAAATCGATGAATTTTCCTCTTGGCACGTAATTTGTGATTCTCTCGACGAAATAAGTTCGAGTCACGCGATTTTATTCTATCAAAGAATATTATCCGAACTAAATACGATCATAAAAAAAAAAAAAAATTCGAGATATTTCAATAACTTTTTTGTCCAAATTTTGCCCAGGAAATTGCATTCGATTAATTAGATTTAATATCGATGGTAAATTAACGGAAAAAAAAAAAAAAAATAGAAAAACAAGAATTTTAAAAAATAAAAAAAAAAAATTAAAAAACTCATATCGCGACTACGATCATCGAAATTGGATTTTTAAAAAAGAGAGATGTTTTTTTTTTCTCTTTTCTTTTTATCAACGTTTATCTCCAAGTAGTTATCCGGTGAGTTATCGTAGAAGATTTTTATTTGCAATCGAGAATGGAAACAAGTCCACGTGAATTAACGAGAAGACTAACGATCGTGAAATAAATATTCCTCTCGACCAAAGTACCATTCGATTTCGATTTATGGGTATAACGTCGTAAAGAAAGAAAGAAAGAGAGAAAAAAGACACAAAAAATATAAAAAAGTAAAGGAAAACGAGTAGACCGTGGTGGGGACAGCATAGTGGTAGAGGGGGCAGCGTAGAAGTGGAAGGGGCAGCGTAGAAGTGGAAGGGGCAGCGTAGAAGTGGAAGGGGCACTCTTTATCTCTCTCTTTCTCTCTCGAACGGTAATAAAACGACAACGTTTCGTAAAAGACATTTAGAATTTAATCTCATTTATTATCCTTTACTTTATATACATATATATATGCATATCGATTTAATAATTTAGTTTCGCGGTTAGTTAAACACCTGTTCTCCACACGATTATTCGATATCGCGTATGCATTTACTTTCCATGTATACATCACACACAAACATACTCACATACACACATATTTGAACGTATATACGTGTATATGGATAATGTAAAAGAAAAAAAAAACGAAGGAAGGATATAATTTAATAGGTAAATCATTTTACCTACAGTTTATCGATCCTATCGAGAGATAAGAAAAATAATATATGAAATCGTGTATGTGTGTATGTGTTGGTAGTAATAGTAGTAGTAGTAGTAGTAACATAGACAATTTTCATGAGATGCGATCATAAATGGCGTATAATTTCTGTTTCCTCGAGTACATCTTTGGAAAGAAAATATTGGAAAGTAAATAGATAAGTATGGATATATACAACAGACACACAAAGTTAAGATCAAAGTTAGTTTTATAGACAAACAATCTTTTCCAATGGAATAATGCTGTAAGAAGAAACCTAAATACTAAGAAATTGAGAGACAGCATTAATGGGGTTGTGGTGGTGATGGTAGTGGTGGTGGGTTTGGTTGAAAGATAAAGCAACAACAATACTACGAAAAATCTCTTGTGTCTGTTGTTACCAATGAAGTCTTATGTTAAGAAAAAAGAAATAAAAAAAAAAAAAAAAAAGAAGAGGAAGAAAGAAGATAGAAGTTCTCGTGTATTGAAGAAGGTTTACTTTTCAAAGTACGCCTCGCTGATCCGTATTTCTTGTGCGAAGAACAACTACGTAAGATCTTAGGTAGTATTATATATACTTACTTAGTAACGATTCTCACGAAAAGAGGATTTTTCTAGGCTCTCTTTCTTTTTTTTTTTTTTTCTTTACCATCGTATTTGATACGAATACCGAATCTAGTAAGATTCTAATAAATCGATATACTATTTAATATTCTTATTTTTATTATTGTTCAATTAGTTTTGCAAAAATATTATCAACATAATTCATTGTATTTTCTTTTTTTTTTCATTTTAATGTTTGATGATCAATTCAACGATTATGGTAGTATTAAAATTATTAAGTTACCAACCTTATGATACAATGGATTTTTCACTAGGAAAAGATGGATAACAAGAGAAAAAATACTAAAGAAAAAAAAAGAAATGAAATATATGTCACAGATAAAGTGAGGGAGAGAGAAACGAATAGAACGATAAAAATCTCGCGTTCATCGCAATGGGTTTGTTGTTGGTCGATGCCATTAGCCCTTATAATAAATTCATGGTATCACCCATAGCAACCAATTGTGTATAGCTTTAAGCTCG